TGGGTGGGGGCGCTGAGCCATGATAACCCCTCACAGACTAGCACTGAAACTTAGCACACACGTCCATGATCTCCTTGGGGAGGACTGTCCAGGTGGCCTGCAGCTGTTTCAGGTGGAGCCTGAGAGGCTGTCAGAGGGGTCAGCTCAGTGACCCGAAGACGGTGACACCCCGACAGCCCAGGAAAGAATCTAGGGGATTTTCTAGTGTTTTGAAGACACTGGCCTGAAGTGTTTTAAAGGTTCAGAAAATCTTGGCTATTCCCAAGATTAAGCAAAAAATAAGTAAATAAGCTACTCTAATTAAAAGAAAACGAAAAAAACAAAACTTGTAATCTAGGCTTCAGGTTCAGCTGTTGTCTCTTAAGACATTCTGAAACTGGGAAACATACCAAAGCCTTTTCCCAAAAGGATGGAGCAACTTTGTAAATACGGAAGGATTTCAAACTAGATTCTTCATCCCATAAAAATGGCTCCCAGAGTCCATTAGTCATGAGAGCAAGCGGACTTTTCCACCAGCTTCTGTTCCAGCAGGGCCAGGGGAATCCTGGATAAGTATCAAAGAGGAAACTCTTAGTGAACACTCACGCATGCCAGGCCCTGTTCTCAGCTCCATGTGGGCCAATCTGCTGACTCTCCATAACATCACTTGGACATGGTTACTATGATCACGTCTCTGCTTGAGGAAGTGGGGAAACTGAGTCCAAGGGTTGATCTAACTTATCACTCTGAGGTGATGCGCCCGTCAGAGGCGCTGGGATCCAACCCGGGATGCGTGGCTCTGAAACCCACAATCCAGATTGGAACTCGAACCCACTGTCTTTTAATTGAGATCACACACCTGGTCTCAGGACTTAATGAAGCTCAGGTCCTTTATGTCTGGTCACAGAAAGAATTCAGTGAGAGACAAAGTGATAGGTAAGAAGTGGTTTTATTTAGAGAGAAACACATTCCGTAGACAGAATGCAGTCTGTCTCAAAAGGCAAGAGCACCGCCAGGGCATGGGGTCATCTGGCAAGTGAGAGCAGCCCTGGGAGAAACACTCTCCACAGACGGAGGGTGGGCCATCTCAGAAGTTGAGAGACCCTGAAATATGGGGTGGTTAGTTTTTATGGGTTAGATAATTTCATAGGCTAACGAGTGGGAGGATTATTCCAACTCTTTGGGGGAAGGGGTGGAGATTTCCAGGAATTGGGCCACCGCCCACTTTTTGACCTTTTATGGTTGGCCTCGGACCTATCATGGTGCCTGTAGGCGTGTCATTTAGCATATGCTAACGCATTACAATTAGTTTAAAATGAGGCTCAAGGTCTACTGGAAGTCAAATCTTCCACCGTCTTGGACCTAGTTGGTTCTAGGCAGGTTATGTCTAACCTCAAGGGCTATGTCCTTCTTTTAGAGGTTGTGCCCTGCCCCCTTCCCTCCTGTTTCAGCTCCAGAGTCCAGAGCTCACCATAGTGTATTAACTACATTTTCTTAGGTTCTGTATTCTTTTTTTTTTTTTTTTTGGCTGCTTTGGGTCTTCATTGCTGTGTGTGGTCTTTCTCTAGTTGCGGAGAGCGGGGTCTGCTCTTCTGTGGTGTGCGGGCTTCTCATCACGGTGGCTTCTCTCCTTGTGGAGCACGGGCTCTAGGCACGCGGGCTTCAATAGTTGCGGTCTGTGGGCTCGGCAGATGTGGCTTGCGGGTTGTAGAGCACAGGCTCAGTAGCTGTGGCAAACGGGCTTCGGTGCTCCACGGCATGTGGGATCTTCCCGGACCAGGGCTCGAACCTGTGTCCCCTGCATTGGCAGGTGGATTCTTAACCACTGTGCCATCAGGGAAGCCCCGGTTCTGTATTCTTGATGCTGCGGCATCTGGGCCTCGCTGAATGGGGGAGAGACCCTCCTCCCAGTGCCAGCCCATTCTTAGAGATGGCAAACACGCCTTCCACCTGCTAACTCACCAATCCAGAGCCCAGGCTCCAAACCACTCCTCTGCCTGGTTTACATGGTGGGAGGCACTGTCTCTCGGCTGTGACTGTCCCAGGGACAGGAACTGCACAACCAGAGACAGCCCTCATGCCCCAGAGCTGGCCACAGTCATTCAAATGAGTCAATATTCAGCCTGCTTACCTGCCTCGCCTTGGCTTTCTCATAGAAACAGCAATGAAGATTCCTGCCTGGGGTTTCCCCCCGCCCCCTTCTGCTACCTGACCCAACCCGGTGCTTCCCCACATGGCCCTGCCTGGCGTGGCATTGTCACCCAAAAGACTGGGTTCGCCTCTTGGAGCGTGTGGAGTCAAAAGACACAACCAAGGCAAAGCTAGAGAAAAGGAAGGATTTATTTATTTGCAGCAAGTAAGGAGAACACAGGGGATTTCCCCAAAGCACTGTATCCCTGAACAGCAAAACTGGGGACGTTTTAAGCTAAGGGTACATGCATATTCATGAAGGGGCTTGGGCAGAGGAGACTTCAGCTTAGAATTGGGGTCAAGGCTGACAGAGTCCAAGCTTTACTTGATTAAAGTCACGGGGGTCAGAAAAGGTATAACTGATTTATTATGTTTGCTATTGTTACACCTCTTGCTTAATAATGGTTTGTTCCTGCATTCTTTGGTTCCCTTAAGATCATTAATTGCTGAGACCTGTTCAAGGGCAAGCACTGTGACCAGGCTTTGGTTACCAAATGGTTTAGACCAAAAATGGCTTCTCTTGTGTCAAGAAAGCTGTGCTTGATTCTCTTTCTCTGGGGAACCCCCCCCCCCCGCCTGCTTAGAGTATGCCCCCACCTCTTAGGAACCGTGACAAACTGTCTTTAGTGGCAAGTGTCTCCTGATCTGTCGACCTCACCCTATCTGAATAATAACACAGCCTCCTTTTTTTTTTTTTTTGGCTGCTTTGGGTCTCTGTTGCGGCACACAGCCTTTCTCTAGTTGCGGTGAGCGGGGGCTACTCTTCGTTGCGGTGCGCAGCCTTCTCACTGCGGTGGCTTCTCTTGTTGCGGAGCATGGGCTCTAGGCACGCGAGCTCGGTAGTTGTGGCTCGCAGGCTCTAGAGAACAGGCTCAGTACTTGTGGCGCTTGGGCTTAGTTGGTCCGCGGCATGTGGGGATCTTCCCAGACCAGGGATCGAACCTGTGTCCCCTGCATTGGCAGGTGGGTTCTTAACCACTGTGCCACCAGGGAAGACCCTTGATCTTTTTAAAAATTATTATTTTTATTTTTTGACCACACTGCGCGGCCTGTGGGATCTTAGTTCCCCAACCAGGGACTGAACCCGGGCCCTTGGCAGTGAAAGTGCTGTGTCCTAACCACTGGACTGCCAGGGAATTCCCTTAGCTATTATTAATCAACAATTAATTATTATTAACTATGATGTGCTTCCTCTTTAAAATCTGGATGGCTAAGACCCTGCCCCCTTCCTCACTGTCCCAGGCAGAAGCCGTGTCACTGCATCCACTGTTCTCACCAGGCTAGAGAGGTTTAAACTTGCTGACTTGGGTCACCAGAGGGACGGAATTCACTGTGTCTGCAAGGGTGAAACCCCAGAGGCAGCAGGTTGGGAGTGAGAGATAAAGGGCAGGGTCATGACCATGGCGCTTGAAACCCAGCAGGACCCTGTGGGGTCCTCCCAGGCACAAATCTTTTCTGTGTCCCCCATTTCTGGTTTGTAGGAAATAGGCTTCATTCAGCCTCCTAGACCTTCCTGAATATCAAAGAGCAGATTCAAACAGTTGCTAATCAGGGAAGTAATGAATACAGAAACAAAGGAGGAAAATCAAGAAACTATAGTGCAGCGATTGGAGCAGGGTCCTGGTTCCTCCTCAAGGGACAATATCTTTGAGTTCTTCTGCAGGAACTAAGGCCCCGACCCACAAGATCCCTGGATCACCCCCACCACCAACCCCCCTTACCTCACCACCAACCAATCAGAAGGAAGTCACACACCCCAAATTTTGCCTATAAAACTTCTCCTTGAAAACCATGGAGGAGTTCAGCGTTTTGAGCACCAGCCACCCTGTTCTCTTGTTGGGCTCTGCAGTAAACCTTTCCCTGCGCCAAACTCCAACTTTTCCCTTTGTTTGGCCTCACTGTGCATAGGGTGCAGGAACTTGCCTTCAGTAACAGGCTGGGCTCCCACCACATGGGTTTGCCCTTGCCTGCAGGTTCTGAGAGAGGACATTGCACAGGGGTGGTGCAGTGCACACTGGCCAGGTGGCCAGGCCCAGAACACCCTGAGGCAGAGGGCCAGCCACGTGTCGGGGGTTGGGGAACTGGGCTCCTGGGGGTCCCCAAGGGTCTCATGGCACCGTGGAGGTGTCCGCCCCCCAGGCCTCTGCGGGGTAGTTTGGGTCCCCGCTAGCCGGGTAACTCCGCGTGGATCAGGTCTGCGTGCCCTAGGCGGGGGCGCCCCCGTGGACAAGGTGGGCCTGGATCCTTGGTAGTGCGGGGCGGTCGCGGGGCTCGTGCGTCCTAGCGCTGGTCTGCGCGGTGGCCGCAAGGGCCATGGACCGCACGGGGGTTCCAGGACCTGCAGGCCCTGGAGTGGGGATCCGGCACTGCGCGCCACGGGGCCCTAGGGAGGGCTCTCCCGGTAACTCCCAGCCCGGCCGCCCCTCTGCTGGCACCCCTGCCCGTGCCCACTCTCGGGGCGCCGCACCAGTGCGTTTCCTCCGTGGGAGTCCTTGTCTGACCGCCTCGTAGTTCAGCAGCGCCGGGAAGTGTGGGTTAGAGGCGTGGCGCGGGGCCAGGGGGCGGACCTCAGTGGAGTGAATGAACGGCCCGAGGAACCGAAGGAGGAAGGCCGGACGGCGCTGCAGTGCCCTACGGGGTAAAACTGAAGGTGCACGCCGGGTTTTGGAGGGTGGCCGCCCACGTGCCAGGAGCGCTGAGTGACGTGGCTGGGTCGCCCGCGCCGGGGGTGCGGTCTGCATTTTCCCTGTCCCCCGGCAGGGGCGGGGGGGGCGGGCCCCGCACGGATGCCCCACCTCGGCCCCGCCCCCTGCCCGCCCCGGCGCTGCGCCGGACCCGCGGGTTCCCAGGCGCGCTGAGGTCAGAGGGAGGCGGCCTGTCGCCCGAGCGGAGCGCCTGCGCCGAGCGGGGCGGTAGCGGAGCAGAGCCGGAGCGTGGTCCGAGCCGAGCGGAGCGCAACGCCAGCGCGCGGCGGAGACGCTGACCCCGCCCGGCCCCGCGCCGCCGCGGCAGGCCCGGCATGGAGGAGGAGTGCCGGGTGCTCTCCATTCAGAGCCACGTCGTCCGCGGCTACGTGGGCAACCGGGCGGCCACGTTCCCGCTGCAGGTACGCTTACGTAACCCGGTGGTGTCCCCGCGCCCTGCCGTGCGGGCTCGCGAAGGGGTGGCCGCAGCCGGGCCGCGTGACCTTGGCCGGGCAGCCCCAAGGGTCTGGAGCGCGGGGTGCCCAACGCGGGCGGGGGAGGCAGGCGCTTTGCGGGGGCGGGGCTTGGGGCAGCACTTGGACCCTTGCGGGTGGGATGGGGCGGGGATGCGGGCCTTTGGTTAGAATGAAGCCCCCGGCGCGAGCGGTGCGCTCCCACCGGCCCGACCCTGGGGACGAGAAAATGCGGCGTCGCGGCCGGAGACCCTGCGGAGGAGGGCGCTGGGTAGGCAGGTGTAGGCACTGCTCACCTGGTGGGCTCCCCATGCCGTCCCCGCCCCCTGTGGGTCAGGATGCTGGCCGGGAGGAGGAGGAGGAACCCCGCAGTGAGGCCCCGGGCGGCAAGGGTGGGCTCCATCCTGCGAGTGGCCGGGCCGGGGGCGTGGTCCGGGGCAGCGGACGGGGCGGAGAAGGCCTACCTGCCGGTGTTGGCTCTGGAGAAGAGCCCAGCGGCCGGTTCGGGCCCCTGCAGGGTCTGGCTTTAGAAGCCGCTTGTTAAATGTGTCAGCCTTTCCTTACTGGGGTGCCCGCGGGCTTCCTCCCACCTCCCCCGCCTGTCCTCGGTCAGGGGCTCACCGTCTCTCTGGCTCATCAGCCGGCACCTGCCGCTTCCTGTCGCAGCCCCGAGGTTACGGTTGGGCGGCCCTTGGAGGGGCAGGGGGAGGCCTGGGTGCAGTGGGGTGTCAGCATTGGGGTCCCTGGCACTTCCTTGCCCTGTGGGCTCAGGAGGAGGCTGGGCGTCCGGGCAAGGTGGCGGCTCTCTTGGACCACTCACCTTTGGTCCATTGTCCCTGGGCCCCATCCCTGAGTAAGGAGACCGGTGTCGGGCCCCTGCTGTATGTGCCAGGTCCCTGTTCTGGGCCCTCAAGGACGTGAAGGGCCACCCACTCACAATGGCCTGTGGGCTGTCGGCTGGCTAGAGGGACCCTGGGGAGGGTTGGAACCACCTCAGTAGAGACTGAGGGCCGACCTGAGGCTAGCAGGCCCGTCGCCCGATAGGAAGCAGTGGAATGAAGACTGAAGGTGGAAAGGTACAGGGGTTCAAGTCCAAGGGACCTGCCCAGCCGCCACTGATCTGTGAGCACCTGTTGAGATCATGTGAGGTCCTTGGCCCTCCCGTTCTGACCAGCGGGGCTGCAGACCACGGGGGCAGTCAGGGTGCGCGCTTGCACCTGTCCGGAGGCCCCAGCTCTTCTTGGTCACTGATTGCTTGGGCAGGGCCAGTGCGGTGGGACGATGCTGGGGGAAGCGCAGGGTCCCTGAAGCAGGGGCAGACGGGAAGGTGGAACCAGGCAGTTCCCCCGGCAGATACCGGTGGCAGCTGCCCCCACACTGGGAGGGAGCCTGGGGAGCCGCCCTTCCCAGAGGTGTGCAGAGGTGCGCAGGCCTCTGCTGGCTTCCCTGAGCCTCTGCCTCTCCCTCCCATCCACCCGCCTGCGG